ATGTCGTGTTTTTTAACTAACATGAAAACGAACTAATTAAAAGACGACAAACACGACACGACACAACATAGATAAAATAAGATAAAAATTAGTTTATTTAATTATAATTAATCATATATACACGGAAAACAAATGTCAAATTGTGTCGAATTTTGAACACGACATGACGTCGTGTTTTTTACACTTGACATGAATACGACGCGAACACGAATTCGAATTTCAGTTTCGTCTCAATTTCGTTTCGTGTCGTGTATTTTTGTTGTTTCTTGTCATCAATTGTCACCCCTACTATAAATTAGAGACTTTAAAGAAGTAGCAATGCCTTGAATGTTTGTTTGGAACTTGTAGGAAGCCGATACTTAAAGAACACATAAATTGTTTATTTTCATTTCCTTTCCCTTGGGAACACCACAATATAATAAATCTTTACATTCCCCTCCATATTTTCCTTTTTTTCCATTAATAATTATATTATTTGCAGAATTCTTGATCAATTACAATGATGTCATGGGGTCTAGTGCAATCTAGCAACTTTCCTTGTGCAATTTCCTATCGTTCAAAGCAATGTGGTATTACAAAAAGAGTAGGGATGATGAAGTGCAACTTACAATCTTCTTTAAATCCAAATCCAATGAGAATGATAATGAGGACATTCTTTGGTTTCCGGAGAGTCAAGAACATGGTCAACAGAAGGCCATGATTTCCACTCAATGATTGCAACGACGTAGAAGGACGTAGTAGGGCAATTAGATATGCCTGATTTTGACTACTTTAGAGAATGCTAAGGTTAAAAGGTATGGTTTTGAGATTATTATGTGTTTAAGGACTGTCACATCATCCAAAATACCATTCCACTACATGTCTACTAGCATTGGGGATGGTGTTCAGTGTTCACTAGTAAACATCTAGTGAACAAGAGAGAGAAATAGAGACAGAGAGATAGAGAGTAGCTAATGAGAGTCACCATTGAATTGTCGAGCCAATAAAAGTCGTTGTAAACCTCTGTAATACATATCACTCCACATCACAACTACTAGCCACATAGGCGATGTTCACTAATGAAAATCTTTGCCACATCAACTTTTGACGCGTGAGAACCGAACCATACTTCAAGGCCTAAGAAAGTTATTAAGTTTTCACAAGAGGAGGCAAGAGTGTTAGCTCATAATTTCGTGGGACATGAGCTGATTTTCTTAGGTCTTATTCATGATGACACTGACATAGCAACAAAGGTCTTAAGGTCAATGGATATTTTTTTTGGAAAACGTACATGACAAGATCAAAGAAGTACTTTATTGATAATGGTAGTGGTAGTGGATTTGTTTATGATTCTCAAGAGATTCTGTTTACACCTCTTGCAAATAACATATTTAAATGGTCTCGAGTTGAGGCTAACCTACTTGGTAAACCACCCCAAATTATATAATATATATATATATATATATATATATATATATATTATATATATATATATATATATATATATATAGATGTGTGTGTGTGTCTTGAAAGTTGAAACAAACATTAAGAAAGTTAAATCAGTCTTTAACTGGCTTAATCTTTTAGGTCATACGTATGTTGGATCAGAGCACTTGCTTCTAGTTTTGCTTCATGATGAGGATGGGTTGCAAATCACGCTCTGAAGGATTTTGGTGCATTCGCAAATGACATTCGAAAAAAGGCAAGTGCCGTGTAGTTAAACATATATATATATATATATATATATATATATATATATATATATATATGTGTGTGTGTGTGTGTGTGTGTGTGTATGTGTGTGTGTGTTGGATCTTTGAGAAGCTAGATTGAATAGATTCCACAAGAAAGCTCTAGCGATGAGACTCTTTTAATCGGAAGTTGAAAATCACAAAAAAAAATGTCGGACTTGATGCTACGGCCTCAGAATGGTAATCCTTGAGATTCCATGCCCTCGGAATGAGAAAAGGTTCTGATGAGAGCTCCATTCCACGACCGTGGAATCTTTGATTGAATTCCACATCTAAATTCCGAGTTTCCTTCGATTTTACCCTAATTTTTTTTAAAATTTTGCAGAGAGCCTCCCTTGAACTTCCTAAGCATGCTCCAGTTCTTGAATCACCCTGAAACATCCACAAAAAATGATAAAAAGTATATAGATCATTGAAAGTATCCCAGAAATATAAACTACATGCAAAGTTAAAATAAATGCTATGTAATGCTTGAATTAAACATGAAATAAACATACAAAAATGTGCACTTTATGCACCTAACAGCTAGAACAATGGAAGACCGAAGGGTTTGGCCGAAAAATTTCATAATATTGGTCGGGTTATATGTGTTTGACCGCAAAATTCAAAGGGTTCGTTCGAAAGTTCATTTTGACCCGCACCGATAACCATCTCTAGTAATTAGTGGTTTGACTTCGCTAAATTCATCTTCGCTAACTTTCTTTCATTTTTCAAAGCGCACATAACTTGACTAGGCGTACACATAGGATCCTAATGTACTAAATTTGTGCTTAAGTGACATTACAACCTTCTACAATGGTTAAGGGTCTAAAATAGCAGGTAAAAATGAAGTTTATATCCCTAGAAAACCTCGAAAACACACACACACACAAAATGTTAGGAACCCTTTAAAACAAAATGGCAACGTTGATATATAAGGCCTTATGTTATCCATTTACTTTAAACTATTTGATCCGTTATTGCTTAGATGTTTATGGTGTTGAATCTATTTTAAGGTCTTAATTTGAAGGTATTGATGCAACAAACATAAAAAAATCCTTTCAACTATCTGTGTATTACAACATATCATATTTTAACTTTTTTTACTTAGCATAGAAAAAAAATATTTCTTAAGATTTTTATGTAGCATCCATTAATAAACAAATAAAAATTTACAGCATTTGAATTTTCATAATACTAATATATAAGACAAAATAACCAAAGTTTTACAAATTAACGAATGTGGGTGTATGGGGGAGGGACATTTGCATGACGACGCCACTATCGTTTCCTCAAATAACGAAAGGAGAAAGAATAAATATTTAAAAATATATATACTATAAAGCAATAGGGAGTGGTAACATTCCTAACACATTGCCACATCATTATTTTGACTGACATGTCAATTTTTTTTTTTGTGCCACCTCGATAACACATTTTCTTAGCATTTCATATGGAGTGGTAACACTCTTAGCGCTCCATTTTTTTTCAATGTATTTTCAAAATTAAATAAATTGTATTTTTTTAATACACAAACATTATATATATATATATATATATATATATATATATATATATATATATATATATATATATATATATATATATATATATATATATATATATCATAACAGACGTAGGAATAGAAACCTTTTATGTTTCATAGTTTAGCCACAAAAGTTTTAAGAAGTTGACAATTGGTCCATTTTGGAAATGATTAGCAATAGGAACCTTTTATGTTTCATAGTTAAGCCATAAAAGTTTTAAGAAGTTGACATTTGTACTAGGGGTGTTTGCGGTACGGTTTGGTGCGGTTTAGAGTTGAAACCGCAAACCGCACCGCACATGCGATTTGAGTTTTTTGGAAACCGCACCACAAAAGCTCTAAACCGCATTATGTGGAGCGGTTTCATATGGGCAGTTTGGGCGGTTTATGTGCGGTTTGATAAGTTGTTTTAATTTATAACTTTGGTTGTTATTAAGTACATTTAAACACTTTCAAATTTTATTAATTATATTGCATACCATTTAAAACGCATTGATATCGCAGATAAAAAAACCACATAATGTTTTGCTAAGTTGTTATGACTTATGAAATTTGATATCATAGTCTTTTAAGTATTTAATTATCATATTTAACCATCTTGATATAGAATAAAGTTATTGGACACTATGAAGTATTTGGTGATTGGAAACTTTGGTGTATATATATATATATATATATATATATATATATATATATATATATATATATATATATATACACACACACACACACGACGCGTTGCGGTTTGAACCACAGTTTGGTAACTATAAACCGCAAACCGCACCGCATAATGCGGTTTGACAAAATTATGAACCGCAAACTACACCACGAAATTCTAAACCGTATTATGCGGTGCGGTTTAGTGCGGTGTGGGCGGTTTATGCGGTTTTTGCACACCCCTAATTTGTACTCCATTTTGAAAAAAAAAAGAGTCTCCGACAAACTTTTTATGTTTCATAAATTCGCCACAAAAGTTTTAAGAAGTTGACACTTTTGGTCTCTTGTATTTTATGTTTGCGACCTTCACTTTTGGTACATTTTGAAAAAAAACATCTTCCGTGAACTTTTTGTGTTTCATAATTTTGTCACAAAAGTTTGAAGAAATTGACAATTTTGGTCCCTTGTATTTTATGTTTGCCACCTTGAGTTTTATTGTATTATGAACTTGATATTTTTGGTCTATTTTGAAAAAAAAAAATCTTCGTTGAAGCCATGATCACCGTCTAGTTTTTTATAAAACACAAATACTCTAAAAGAAAGAGAAAAAAAAGTTAAAAGGAGATAAAAATAACATTGGACACAATTAGAAAAAAAGTTAAAGAAGATAAAAGAATAACATTGGTCATAGTAAAAAATATGTGGATTGGGTTTGAAAGTTGAAACCTCAACTAATTGACCGGTCCATTCCCACACTCTCTTTAAATGAACTTTGAGGGTAATAAAGTATTCGTCTTGTATTCATTAGGTCCCTTATCTTTTTTTTTTTTTTTTATTATACCATTGAACTTATAATTACTACTCACCACAGCCATCGCGATCGGTTATCACCTGTTTTACCGGATACTACATTTAATTAGAGATGACATGTCATATTACGTGGAATTAGAGCATATTTAGTTAGCGTTTCTCTTTCACCCCCTTTGTCCTTGCAGTTAGGGTTCGTTAAATTGAAGAAAAAGTTCAATCGAAGCATACGGTTAGGAAATTGAAGAGAACTGGTGCATGCGAGTGTTATAGTGAAGAAGATGGCCTCCGATTCCAAACAATGTAAGTATTTAACAGTTTGTATGCATTATAATGGTTTATTCACACCAAAACCATTAGTGTACTTGAACGCTGTTGTTGTTTCAATCTGCGATGTCGATTTTGGTGCAATGGATCTCAAAGAGTTTAACTTGTTCATTACAAAGTTGATTGAAGGCAGTTCTGATAATGTATATTATTGCACTAGAAATGAACCATTGGCAAAGGGTATTAGGAGAATTAGGAATGATGTTGACTACTTTGAGATTATTGAAACGGGTTATAGTGATGAAGTTGGTCTAAGAATGAATGTGTATATAGACCACGATAATGAACCTGTACTTGATTGGGCTGATATGGAAGTAGTGGAAGATGATGAAGGGCATTATTCTGAGGAAGACCCGGATGATGATAAAGATTCATAACTTTCTGATGATATTCCATATGAGCTTGAAGCAAATGATTACATTCCTTCTCTTTACAAGACTATTAGTGATGAATTCTTACATCGGGTGTCAGGTATATGTAAGGATATAAATAATGAGCCTGAAACTGATGAGGTTGAAACCAAGAATGGAGATGACAAACCAGTGTACCCTGTCCATAATGAGAACCAGAAATGGGACAAAATGGTGCCAATTCTAGGTATGAGATTCTCTAACCCCATTGAATTGAAAAATTATTTGACTAACTATGTAGTGAAGAATGGGTACAACCTTTATTTTGAGAAAAATGATAATCAGAGGTTATTAGTGAGATGTTGTAAAGATAACAAGAACCCCTCTTATCCTTTTAGACTGTGGGCTTCCTGGATGAGTAGTTGTTGAGTGTGTCAAACCCAACAAATAAAGGGGTAAAATAACTCCTTAAACCATACTACTTCGTACTAGAAATGTAATACAAGGTAAGCAGGGTCGATCCACAGAGACACAGAACAAATGTTTATACATTTTTGCGGAAGGTACAATAATGGTCACATAAATGGGGGGTTGGCATGCAATGATTTAAACAAGAGGATAAAACAATAAGTAAATGATCAATTAAATGAAACAAATTCAGGATTTGTGAGAACTCCAACTCTATGCAAGACAATTTAACAATGTGATTCCAAGGATGAAATGATATCTACTTAATTCCACCTAAGTTGGTACTTGAAAGTGTTAACACGTTCTAACACTTCCCATTCACCAAGTTGTCAAATTCAAAACAAGCTCTTTGGAAATAACCTAACTTTCTAATTTATGTCTAAACAAGCTCTTAGATAGAAATCAAAAGGTTGCAATAAGATTTATGTGAATGTTCCCAATAACACCCAATACTCCTCACAAGCTTGGGAGTGTAAGAGTATGTGAATAAGATTTACACTAAATTCATTCAATGGAAATCAATTTAGTGTTTGTTACTTAGTTCAATTCACAAAACAATTACGGATTTTGCAATTTGATAACTTGAATGACCTAACCCTAATTCAAATGGCCAATAAGAATCACAATTAGAATCAAACATTAAATTGAAACAAAATCAAATTCACTAGGTAGGAATTAGAAGCAAACATCAAATCACATGATTGAAATCACAACTAAAAAGTCAAGACATGAAGTTGGAGAAACTAGGGTTCTAGTCACTCATGACTAGAACAAGATCACAAATCTAGAAAATGAAATTAAATTTATTACAAAATGAAATCAAATGTTCCCAAGTGTTAATCAACTTCAAAATCCTCAATAAATTTGCCTTATCTACTCCAAAAGTCGACCCCCCAAAGTAAAAAGTCGGTTCCCCCCTTTAAGAATAGTGAAAAACTGCTTTAAAACCCATGTTTACGTTTACACGACCTGCGTAAATTAACACTGTCATTTACACGGCCCACGTAAACGTAAAAGTATACTGCGCAGAAATCTACGTTTACACGGCCCGCGTAAACGCAAGGCTTGCATTTACATGGCCGTGTAAATCTCTGTAAAGCCAAAATGTTCTTTGCTTTGATATCTTGCTCCTCGGTGCTCCGCAAGTCCCGAAATTTTGTCCGCAACTTTTATTTACCTCCTCCAACAAGATCCTACCTCCAAAAGTCCCTGAAATATCACAAAAGTATTTGAATGAAATTGCCTCATGAAAAATCCCAAAAAACATGCAAAATGCATGAGTTTAAACCTAAATGCAATGCACTTTTATGGATTAAAACTACAAAATGGGTACATGAAATGCACCTAACAAATCTCCCCAAGCTTAAACCTTTCTTGTCCTCAATAAAGAACAAGAAAATTTAAACCGGAGAAAATAAAATAAAAAGAAAAGAAAAGAAATCAAAGTTAAAATTATTTGAAACTTAATGCATGAAATCAAAACAAACATGAAAAGATCCAACCCAATTACCATGTTTTGTACCATAGTTGAGAATGTACCTGTCATGCCTTGAGTTAACTTGGCTTTAGTCTCAAAATATTATATGATAATAGAAACAAAACTTTGGCCACTCCCTAGTACAACTCAACAGAATCAAAGATCACAACACTTATTCCCTTTCAATAGCATCAAGTCAAGTCTTCGAACAAATTACGGTCTTACTCTCGTGAAATTATATGTGACAAAACATGCTCAACCATCTTTGTTTCATAAAATATAACAATGCCCAATTCCATCTATTTGTTGGTCAACAACAATCTTTTTCTAAAAAATATTTTCTAAAAATTCCCTAATATTTATCCAGATTGGTTACAAACTTCAAACCACTTACACCAGTCAAAGTAATTAACATTCAGTCCAATGTCATAAATTCAAATCCAAGTCCAAGGGAATCTTTTGACAGCCAAGTATTTTTCCTAAACATAATATTCAATTAAACTATAAACACAATTATATATAGACTTCCTAATTACATTTTGTTTACAAATAAAGCTCATGGCTATCTTTGAAATCCGTGTAACAGGCTTCCAACCAACACATCCAGATTAAATGACCTTAGTGTGCTAGATTTAAAAGGATCCCTCGGGTTTACTTGCCCGAACCTCAAAGGCCACAGATTAGCTTTATTTGCTATTATCAAGTTCATGACTTTCTATGGAACTCGTGTAACGAATTTTCAACTCAATCAGTCCCAAACAATTTAGCTTTAGGCGATTAGGTGTAAAACACCCCTCAGAGTTTACTTGTTCGAATCCCAAAGGTCACAGATTAACTTAATAATACAGTTTTTTTTTCTTAAATATTTTTTTTATATAGCACAAATACAAATAACTAAGTTAACACATAGCACTCTTATTAATTTATTTATTTGGCCAATTTATTTATATTTTCGTCCATGACTTTTCTATTATGGGACATCTCACAGTTTATTACCGTGAGGGATTCTAGACATTTTTCGAGGGACTAAATGTTAACATGCAAAGACCCGTAAGTATAGTTGTAAGTTATGTCCTCAAGCAGGGTATATAAAAGGGAATGAGTATAAAGGACTTTTAAGAGCGCTGGAAGGCGGGACATTGAGATTTTGCATTCTTTTATGAACTTTTGAATTTGGCATTTTAAGTTCAATTGAGCATTACTACTCATAAGACTAGTGATATATCCCAAAGAATCGACTCATACCTGATGTTATGCTCCAAGGTTGACAATCTTCTCATTTTCTGTTTTGCACAAGTAGCTTCGGGAGGTGTGTTCGTGTGTGATTAACTTGCTTTTAGATTTTTCAATAAAAAGAGCAAGCCAATATCAAGGCACACAACTCACTTACCATCTCAACTGTTTTGAGAAGATTTGGTTGCTTGGGATTGGATCAAATTTTTTTTATTTATTTATTTTTGAAATGAAAATGCAAAAATTTAGATGCAAAATGCAAAAATTATAATAAAAATAGAGTAGAAAGAAAATCTTTTTGGTTTTTGAAAACTGTAAATGTGTTAAAAAAAATGACAAAGAAAAATAATGCAATGCAATGCAATATGTACAAAATTTACATGCAACGGGATAATGCATGGATGGATGCCCCTCCCCAAGCTTAAAATATAGCATCGTCCTCGATGCTTGGAGAGGGGCATATCCAGCCTATTGAGAGTCGGATGGTGGAGGATGGTAGTTGGGTTGGGAATGGGTCCAAAACAGTCACAGATGCATACCAATTGAATTTTTAAGCAAAATATGAACGACTAAAGATATGGAAAGAATTTACCAAATCGTTCTTGGAGCCTTGCAATTATGGTGAGAACCTCCTCTTCATCCTCCCCAAGCTATCCGTGAAGTATTTTTGGAGCCGGAGATTCATTTTCTAGGCATAAAAAATAAGTTCAAAACCATTTGGGACATTAAAAAACAATTGAAATTTACCAAAGACTAAGAAGTTTTAACAGAAAGGAAAATAAAAAGCCCCGCATTGCCTCCTGGTTAGCTGCCCTTGTTTTAAGTCGTTGGCTCGACTTGACCCCTGAATGTGCTTTGTTCTAAGTAGTTTGGCCTTTACAACACATTAACCTTCTCGCCACTTCCTTCAATTGAAAACTTATCTTCTACCTAACTTTTTTTTTTTAAAATCACCTGCTCACAAAATGCTTGGCATAAAAAATTAGTAACACCGTATCCCCGGCAGCAACGGCAATTTGTTGAGCGTGTCAAACCCAACAAATAAAGGGGTAAAATAACTCCTTAAACACTACTACTTCGTACTAGAAATGTAATACAAGGTAAGCAGGGTCGATCCACAGAGACACGGAACAAATGTTTATACCTTTTTGCGGAAGGTACAATAATGGTCACATAAATGGGGGGTTGGTATGCAATGATTTAAACAAGAGGATAAAGCAATAAGTAAATGATCAATTAAATGAAACAAATTCAGGATTTGTGAGAACTCCAACTCTATGCAAGAAAATTTAACAATGTGATTCCAAGGATGAAATGATATCTACTCAATTCCACCTAAGTTGGTACTTGAAAGTGTTAACACGTTCTAACACTTCCCATTCACCAAGTTGTCAAATTCAAAACAAGCTCTTTGAAAATAACCTAACCTTCTAATTTATGTCGAAACAAGCTCTTAGATAGAAATCAAAAGGCTGCAATAAGATTTATGTGAATGTTCCCAATAACACCCAATACTCCTCACAAGCTTGGGAGTGTAAGAATATGTGAATAAGATTTACACAAAATTCATTCAATGGAAATCAATTTAGTGTTTGTTACTTAGTTCAATTCACAAAACAATTACGGATTTTGCAATTTGATAACTTGAATGACCTAACCCTAATTCAAATGGCCAATAAGAATCACAATTAGAATCAAACATTAAATTGAAACAAAATCAAATTCACTAGGTAGGAATTAGAAGCAAACATCAAATCACATGATTGAAATCACAACTAAAAAGTCAAGACATGAAGTTGGAGAAACTAGGGTTCTAGTCACTCATGACTAGAACAAGATCACAAATCTAGGAAATGAAATTAAAGTTCTTACAAAATGAAATCAAATGTTCCTAAGTGTTAATCAACTTCAAAATCCTCAATAAATCCGCCTTCTCTACTCCAAAAGTCGACCCCCTAAAGTAAAAAGTCGGTTCCCCCCTATAAGAAAGGTGAAAAACTGCTTTAAAACCCACGTTTATGTTTACACGGCCCGCGTAAATTAACACTGTCATTTACACGGCCCGTGTAAACGCAAATGTATACTGCGCAGACATCTACGTTTACACAACCCGTGTAAACGCAAGGCTTGCATTTACACGGCCGTGTAAGTCTCTGTAAAGCCAAAATGTTATTTTCTTTGATATCTTGCTCCTCGGTGCTCCGCAAGTCCTGAAATTTTCTCCGCAACTTTTATTTACCTCCTCCAACAAGATCCTACCTCCAAAAGTCCCTGAAATATCACAAAAGTATTTAAATGAAATTGCCTCATGAAAAATCCCGAAAAACATGCAAAATGCATGAGTTTAAACCTAAATGCTATGCACTTTTATGGATTAAAACTACAAAATGGGTACATGAAATGCACCTAACAGTAGTGAAAGGTCTTTCCATATTAAGTCCTTAGTTGATGACCATAACTGTTCAAGAGTCTTCAAACTTGGTTCCATTGTAACATATAAATGGATTGGAAAGAATTTTAAGAATCAACTTGTGAAGAACCCCAAAATGAGCATAAGGAAAATGAAAGCCAAAGTGAGTACAAAGTTTAACTTGATTGTTAGTGTCACTCAATGTAGAAATGATAGGAGATATGCTTTGGATGAGATAGTTTGATAGAACATTATGGTAAAGTATGGAGTTATCGAGAAGAAATAATGAGGACAAATCCTGGTTCAACAGTAAAGATAGATGTGAATGTCATGCCTGATTCCACCACTTACTTTTCTAAAATGTATGTTTGTTTTAAGGGTGTGAAGGATGGTTGGATTGCAGCATGTAGGAGGGTAATAGGGGTAGATGGTTGTTTTTTAAAGGGTATATGTAGAGGCCAACTGTAGTAGCTATGGGCATGGATGCAAAAAAACCACACATTCCCTATTGCATGGGTTGTGGTGGAAGTTGAAAATTAGGAAAGATGGAAGTGGTTTCTTGACCTTCTTCTGGATGACATTGAAAAGGGAATTGGTCACGGATTGACCCTCATATCAGACCAACACAAGGTATATTTCTGTTTTGTTTTGTTTAAGTTGAATGTTGTTGGTATGTCATCTATTTCATGCTTTCTTTCAGGGATTAATAGAGGTTGTCAAAGAAAGGGTTCTAGCACCAGAGTAGAGACAATGTGCTAGGCACATATATGCTAACTTCAAGAAAAGATTCAAAGGTGAACAATATAGGAAGTTGTTTTGGGAAGCAGCTGCTAGTACTACTCAACCTCAATTTTGAGGCAAAAATGAATTCCATAAAAAAATTGCCCCTTTGGCTTATGAACACCTCATGGAAAGGGACCCTAAAAATTGGTGCAGGGCATTCTTTGAAGTGGACAGGGCTTGTGATGCTTATGAGAATGGCATATCAGAAAGTTTCAACTCTGTTATTGATCTTGCTAGGAAGAGGCTACTTATAACCATATTGGAAGAGATAAGAAATTATGCAATGGAGAGGATGTATAAAATGTTGCTATATGGACAAAGTTGGGGTAATTTAAAAATATGTCCATATATAAGGTTGAAGATATCAAAGCTAAAGAAACAACAAAGGTATGATATAACTTCTATTTTATAAATATTATATGTCTCATCTATAAGATTAATAGAACTTCTTATTTTCGTGGCCAGATTTTGGGGGGTTATAACTTCTAGGATACAACAATATGAGGTTAGGATTGGAAATGATGGATATGATGTGGACCTTAACATCAACACATATGGATGTAGATCTTGGCAAGTATCAGATATCCTATGTGTGCATGTAGTGGAAGCCATTTCATACCTCAACAGGAATGCAGAGGATTATGTTGCACCATGGTTCCATACAACCATGTTCTTGACTTGTTAAAACCATACTATTAATCCACTTAATGGTAGTTCCATGTGGCCTAAAGTTACCTACATGAAGCCATTGCCTCCCCAAAAAAGAAGGTTACTAGGAAGGCCAACCATTAAAAGGAAAATGGATCAATCTGAGAGGGAAAGCCAGGGGAAAACAAAGCATACTATCTCAAAAGCAGGTGCAGTTATGAGATGCACCATTTGTAGAAAAACAGGCCACAATAGATCAACATGTCCTACAAGACCAAAAGATGCAACATCCACTTCACTGCCAAAAAAGAAGAAAGCTAATAAATGTAAAACAGAGAAAGGTATGCTATTAAAACAATGTAATTATACTACAACATCCAACTCATTAACTACACCTTTGTATAGCAGGTACTGTGGAACCAGTTCAAGTACATCCAATTCAAGTAGAAGCTCATGCACAACCAGATGATGATGTTCAAGTACATGATCCTGCTCTACATGTTGATGTTCATGTAGATGATCTTGTTAATGATGTCCCTGCTCAACATGTTGATGTTCATGTATATGATCCTGTTAATGATGTCCCCGCTCAACCTGTTGCAACTGGGAAGAGAACACGAAAATACTCAGAAAGAATTACCAAGATTGGGTTGAGGAGGAACGTTTTGAAGAAAGAAGGAAGCATTGATCACCACCCACTGGTGTTGGATTGAATTTATGTTTTAATATTTTTGTGAAGACAAACTTTTATTCTTTTAATTATGTAATTGGGAATACTTTTAGTCATGGCACATCTTTTGACATATTAGGATAAATATGGGCACAACTTTTGTAATGGTGCACATGCTAATGGAATCTTACAAGTTTGTCTTCTATCTATATTATATTCTTGGGTGTTATACTTAATATGGACCATTTTACCCCTGTATCATGTCTAATACACTAACCAGTTAAACACATTTTGAAACCACTCAAAACATCAAACTAACTATCATCAATAAAGAAGATTTAGTGTTAATACATTAAGAAATGTTTGATGGACAATTTTATCCTTGTATCGTGTCAATACACTAACCAATTAAACACATTTTGAAACCACTCAAAACATCAAACTAACTATCATTAATAAAGAAAATTTAGTGTTAATACATTAAGAAATGTTTGATGTTGTTGTTGTGGTTAATATGGACCATTTTACCCTTGCATAATGTCCAATTCACTAACCTATTAAACACACTAATATGTCTTTGTAATCACTCAAAATATCAAACTATCATTAGTAAAAAACATTTAGTCTTAAAACATTAAGAAATGTTTAATTTTGTTGTGGTTAATCAGGACCATTTTACCCTTGGATCACATTAAGACATTAACAATTGATTTCTGTTATACTTAATCTGGACCATTTTACCCCTGCATCATGTACAATTTAATAACTTGGATCACATTGACACATTAATATTTCTTTGAAACCACTCAAAACATCAAACTGTTATTACTCAAAAAGATTTACGCTTAATACATCAAACAAAATACAACATTGTCTTTGAATACAACTTAATTAGTAAAAAACATTTAGTCTTAATACATCAATAACTACTTCTTAAACAGAAACAACAGAAATAACGCAATCATTAGAACTTTATGAGTGAATTGCTTCCATTTGATTTTTTCAAACTCTTGTCTAACAACCAAATTTTCCTGTTCCATCTTCATTTTACATATGCTGATCTGGTTTTCCAATGTACAAATTTTAAGGGTTAAATTGCACAATTCTTTTTTGTCCTTCCTAGAACTGACTTCATTATCATGGGTTTCAGGCTCCAACCATTCCCAGAACTTGCATTTTGGTCCTTCATTCTTGAAAAAAAGTAACAAATTGGTTAAAGAAAGAACAAAGAAAGAACATTAAACCAAAAACATAAAAACATTTGATTTTACCATGGAGTTTGGGCACAATCTGAATTTTTTTCCTGGATTGTCTTTAGTTCGTGAAGTTCGTACGCGAGATGGTAACCCGCAATAACAAGGATTTTCAGGTTGAAATTCAACATTTCGTTTGGAAGAGATAGAAGAAGAAGAAGAAGCATCCATGTTGATCTAGGGTACAATTGATGAGAATGATGTAGCTTAATAGGGATGACTTGCATTTAATATGCCAAGGGTATGCCACATAATGCCACGTAATATCCACATAAGCAGTAACCTACAACAACCGGTCGTAGTAGCTTTAGTGAGTAGGAATTATAAATTCAATGGTATAATAAAGACAAAAAAAAATAAGGGACCTAATGAATACAAGACGAATACTTTATTACCCTTAAAGGTCATTTTCCCTTTTCTGTATTAATTTTAAGATTTATTACTAGCAATCACACAGACCCATTTTCGAGAATAAAATCCCCTTTTCAAGGTTTCAGCAAATACAAGATTTGCTTTCTGATGGAAAAGATCGCTTGATGAGCTGTTTGATCGGAGATGTCAACAACAGCGATGAAGACGAAGACAAAGAAGAAAGAAGAGGAGGTGAACTAAATCAAAACTCAATATCCAATCACATCATTGCAACCTTTGCTCTAATTTTGCATTCTATTTTGTTTTTCAATATCTGTAAACATGATCCTTTCAGCAATGCTTAGCTTTTCTTCCCTAAAAATGAACTCCCTTCCATTTGAAATGAAGAAAATACAACAACGACAAGTGAAATCGAGTAAAAGTCTTAAATTTTCAGTATTAGGATAAAATCTACGTACTCAAATGTGGTTTGCCTGATACCTTGTCGTTGATCTCCATTACCTTATCTCTGTCTGGAAACTTTCGAAATCAATTAGGGGCACGGTGAAGGGTTAAATGCATATTCGAACTCATTCCTCCCTATTTGTTACTTTCTCGTTTTTAGCCATTTTCCCAATTTATCCTTATTACTTCTTCTACAATAATTATGCAGATTGATATTACACAGAGATTTAGCAAATGTGCATTTGATTGTGATTAGCTATCAATCTATTTCATTCAATTACATTAAACCTTAATTTCTGCTATTCATCGTTGGTCCTGCCATGACCTACCTTTGTTTCACCATGTTTGATATCCACGAGAAGAAGAAAGAGAATTCCAAAAGCCAAATGATGGCTAGGCCTGAAAATCGTGGCGTGTTCGAGGTTGGCGTGTCGCGGGTTCGCGGGTCAAAATATGCCAACCCAAATACGACCCATTTAAATATACAGGTCACGGGTTGGTGGGTTTGGAACATAAACCCACATATGACCCGCCAACCCATTTATTTATACCGGCTCACAGTTTGGTGGGTTCGTGGGTCCAAAATTTTAGACATTTAAGTATTAAACATCCAAATGAAAAATAAAAGCATTTATAGAAACATGCTGCAGACTTAGCCTTACAGGTTACGACTTACGACCTTAGACCATCCACTACGAGTCAAAATGTCAAAACAGTCAAATGATCTATGAATCAGTGGTATATATTATATAATACTTATTAAATATTAATAGTTGATACATAAATACATTTAAAAATAAAATAATTTTTTTATTAAGAATATAAACGGGTTGGCGGGTTAACCCATTAATTTTTTGAGAAACCCATATATAACCTGTTTAATAAACGGGTTTGCGGGTTAGCGGGTTGACGGGTTGAAAAACTCAACCCAAACCCATTTGTTTCGTGTCGTATTGCGTGTCATGTCGAGAATTGCCAGCCCTAATGATAACTCTTGAAAGTGTAATTTGGGTTTCAAAATACCCCAGAAACACTATCCTCTGGTACAAAACTATGGTATTCATTACTCAATATGTTTGAACGTCTTTCTTTTAAATATCTATTAATGTTTCCCATTTTACCCTTTTTGAAAATTTTCTTATTTGATTATGTTTTTAAATGTGGATATGTGTGTTTCATGTAGTTCTAAATTTTATTCAACCCTACAAGATAAAGATGAAGCCCACTACCTAAAACAGGAAGTTGGAAACAAAATGAAATTAGATAGGGACGGATTGATACTTGATTTGTTGAACAAGAGAGCCTCAACGAGTGAAGCTAAAATCTAGGTTTAATTGTATACGTACAATTTTAAATTAGAAAATGTTGGAAAAATAACTTTTTAATGTTATCAATTTTGTAAGCTAATTTAGCCCGACTGCAATATGAGGTGAAAAGGGCTCAAAAAATTGACCGAGAATCAATCTTTAAAAGAATTGTGAAAGTTAAATAAAAAATTGATTCATTGCACGAGAGACGAGGGCGCGAAAGATTAAGCCAACAGTCTAAACCAATCATCTCCTGGTTCTCCAACTCTAGGAAGAGTTCACTCTTCATTAAGTTAACCGGCGTCGGTGTGTGTTGTCAGGATCAAATTTTCACCACCATGGATCCGGTAACAAAAAAAGGTATGACCCATCGAATTTAAATATTAATAATTCTTTTATTGAAAACTTATTTAAATAAATTTCTTTTTAGAAGAAAAAAATGTAAAAGCTTGCTTTTATGGGACAATATGTGGTTTATAGGAAACCCCCCACAAACAATTGTAAGTTATTTATTTATTTCGATTTGTACATGTAATGACGTAAATTTTAAAACCAATTTTTCATTTTTACAAACATCAAAAACATCGACTAATAGTTTAGGTTCCAATGTAAACAATATTGTCACGACCGATTACATAACAAAGATCACAAAAATAGTTTCCCCCGAGTGTGTGTACGATCACGCCGGCGCCTTCCCACGGTCCTCGCTAGTACCTGAAACACATAACACAACAACTGTAAGCATAATTGCTTAGTGAGTTCCCCAAAATACAACCTACGCACATACGCCTTTCCAGGCACTGACCTTCCGGTCCATGTGTCTCAGGGGACTTCTGTCCCGATTGGGTAAACCTTCCGGTCCTACCCACGTCAACCTTACGGTCCATTTTACAACGCCTTCTGGACCATAACATAATGTCTTCCGGCCCATTTCAAGCATATCATACATGGCACATATAACGATTAACTTATCACACATAATGCATATATCTCATATCATATTCGACCTTCCGGTCACACAGTCAAACCCTTCCGGGTACAGTATAGTGACAAGACTCACCTCGTATATCTCGATAACTCGCGAACCCTGGAAATTACTCGTGCTCGAACCCCCAAGCTATAATCCTCCTATAACATCATATATCTCTAATTAATACTTGTACCACTAAGGTTGACCATCCCTATCAAGTCAACACTGGTAAACTCTGGTCAACAGTCAATGGTCAATTTGACTGGACTCAGCGAGTGCACTAGAGCGACTTGGCGAGTCTACGTGTTTTCACTAACTCGCAAGGATTTCCCCCTTTGACACGTCGAGTACTCCCCTGACTCGATGAGTTCCACCTGGTCATGAATCGCAGGGCCACCGCGACTCAACTCGCCGAGTCGCAAGGACAACTCAGCGAGTTCCAGCTCGACCCAGTCCACCTTTCAATCCCTCTCTAACTCCCCGTGACTCACTGAGTCAACCATAACTCGGCAGGACCACTCACTAAGTGGTTAAGGACAATCTTCATGCTACTCGCCGAGTCTGTTATTTGGACTCGGCGAGTCCATGCCATGCAGCGACTCAAACTTGCTTCTGAGGTCAAATCCGCTCCATAAACTCATAGATCTGGCCCTCCTAAGCTCATTTATCACGTAAAGTCACAGTCTTGGCCACCATG